GAATTATTGCCGCCGTCGAACTTGACCTTGCATCGATACGATATCCAGATCAGCCCTGCAGCTGCGGGCAAGAAACATTTCCGGGTTGTGCAGCTACTACTCCAAGCGCCGGAATTCGCAGCCCAACAGGGCGACATGGCAACGGACTTCAGGTCTGCTCTTGTCTCCAAAACCAAGTTTTCGCAGGACGAGGTCCTCGTTGAGGTCCCCTATCGCTCAGAAGGCGAAGACGAACCGACTGCTAGGGCTACCGTATACAAAGTTCGTGTCCAATATACGAAAACTTTAGACGTCGGCGAGTTGGTCAATTACTTGAACTCAACCAGCCTCAACCAGTCATTGGTAGATAAGCAGGAGTTGACGCAGGCTCTGAATATCTTTTTGAACCACTATGCCAAATCGGCAAAGAATCTCGTCACAATTGGATCGACAAAGTCCTTTTCTCTCAGCAGTGAAGCAGCCAGAGGAGACATCGGCTCTGGTTTGGAAATCATTCGAGGCTTCTTTTCGAGCGTGCGTGTAGCGACTTGTCGCATTCTTGTCAACATCAACGTGAGCCATGGAGCATTTTACCAGGCTGTTCCTTTGCCGGCGCTCATGAAAGGTTACGGACTGCACAGCACCGTCATGTTGGAAAGGTTTCTCAAATTGGTTCGCATACAGACAACGCATCTTCCCGAGAAGCGTAACAAAGCGAATGAAGTCATTCCCCGTGTCAAAACTATCTTCGGGCTTGCTAGGAAGGACGATGGACATGGCTTGGCCCACCCACCGCGTGTTAGACAGCATGGGGCTGGTGCCAAAGATGTGGAGTTCTGGCTCGATGGTGAAGCCAGCTCTACCGGCGTACCTAAGCCGGTAGCCAAGGGAGGCGCGAAAGGGAAGGGCAAAGGGAAGGGTAAGGCTCAGGCAGAGAGCTCAGCAGCCTCTACCTCTGGGAAGTATATCACTGTGTTTGACTTTTTCAGAATAAGTTATTCTCACTCTTCATGACTCCATAAAGCTTCACTGACCGTGACGCAGCATACAATCTAGTTCTACAAAATCCTCAACTTCCGTTGGTTAACTGTGGCAACAGAGGCAATCCGATGTATCTCCCAGCAGAGGTCTGCATTGTCCTCCCAGGTCAGCCCTCCAAGTCGAAACTCAGCGTCAACCAAGCGCAACAGATGATTCGCCACGCTGTTCGAAAGCCGTGGGAAAATGCGAACTCCATTTATAATGAAGGTTTGAAGACTGTTGGTCTCGATGAGAACACCAACATACTTTTGGTGCGCTTTCTCTTCAAATTTTGTATATTACTTGCTAATGGTGTTCAGCGTTCTTTCGGCCTAAAGATTGCACCGGGACTCATCAAAGTTCCAGGTCGCATCCTTTTTGGCCCAAAGGTTATCTACAAGAACAACAAGGCCGCTGATCTCCGCTTCGGTAGTTGGAACATGTTGGATATTCGATTTAACATTGGCGCGTCACTTGCTAAATGGTCATACCTGGTGATCTCTATTCCTGGGATGCACGACTCGTTCGACCAGCAAAGCTCGCGGGCCGTTATGAATGAGTTCCATACCGCTCTACAGAAAATTGGCGTCAACGCAGCTCAGCCATTTCCAGGTCAACGCCTCCAACTTCAACATCAAGACGATCCCGCGCTCGGTCCAACTTTAGAACGTGCCGCTCGAGCTTTAGATCTGCTTTTCATCATCCTGCCCGGAGCAAACATGCCAATATACAAGCGCATCAAGACGATGGCCGACAAGAGCTACGGCATCCACACTATCTGCTCGGTGGGTTCCAAACTAGCAAAAGACCGGGGTCGCGACCAATATATGAACAATGTCGCTTTGAAGTTCAATCTCAAGCTTGGCGGCATCAATCAGAGGGTGGAGAACAAGAATCTCGGCATCATCGACCAGGACAAGACAATGGTTGTCGGCATCGACGTCACGCATCCCTCACCTGGCTCGTCTTCCAACGCGCCTTCTGTCTCCGCAATGGTGTCTTCCATTGACAAGTTCCTAGGTCAATGGCCCGCAACTTTGCGCATACAGCGCGCGAGACAAGAGAACGTGGACGATCTCACAGAGATGCTTAAATCTCGTCTTGGCCTCTGGAAAACAAAGGGCAAACACGCCACTTTCCCGGAGAATATTCTCATATACCGCGATGGAGTCTCCGAAGGCCAATATGACATGGTTCTCTCGCAAGAGCTTCCTCAACTCCGCCGCGCATGCGAGCAGATGTACCCAGCAGCTGATACCAAAAAAGGCCTTCCGCGCTTCACTATTATAGTCTGTGGCAAGAGACACAAAACGAGATTCTATCCCACCACCGAGAAAGACTGCGATAGATCCGGCAATACTAAACCTGGTACCGTCGTCGACCGCGGAGTGACTGAAGCGCGGAACTGGGATTTCTTCCTGCAGGCCCACGCTGCACTTCAAGGGACCGCACGCCCATGTCACTACTACATCGTGCATGATGAGATATTCCGGCAGATTTATGCGAAGTCGATTCCGCCTCCATTTCAGACCATCGCCGATATCGTAGAGGATCTCACACACAATATGTGCTACCTGTTCGGCCGCGCCACCAAGGCTGTTAGTCTATGCCCCCCAGCGTACTATGCTGATATCGCGTGCGAGCGCGCGCGGTGCTATTTGGCTAGTCTTTTTGACACGCCGTCGCCAAGTGCAGCCCCGTCCGTTACTGGAACTTCGGCAGCTGGAGGAACCGGGCAGCTAGGTCCTGATGATGTACAAATTCATCAAAAGCTGAGAGATACGATGTTCTATATCTAGTTTAAATATCGAGAATGCAAAAATGGTCGTTTTTTCTATATTTAATGGCACACTATGCATATGCCTCTATGCGGCAGGCCTAGTAGCTCTAATATTCATAGCATCTTATTTTCATAAACCTTAAGCTCCTGAATATCATATAATTCTTTTACAGCCTACCTATAACTAGCAAAATTCTAAAAACAAAACCCCCTTAGCGTTTAATAGATTTGTATTAAATCACACTACTGATCATCTTTACTCATTCTGCCTGTATGCAAGTTGAGTTGTAGAGTATTGGATGTCTGTTTTGATGTTATAATGATGGATTACTCCGACATCTACGTTGAGGCCAAAGAACTAAATGCGGCAATCCTTAGCGCAGTCGCCGAGTTCTGCCAAATAAAGCTAGCTTCAATGGCTTGATTACCTAATTAGCCAGCTACCACCGCAGTATTTCTGAATATAGTAGTCGCGGCGTCAGGACTTCGGCGACATCTGCTCAGCTAGGTAAGTATTTGCTGGCATCTTAGTATGATCAAGTCTATCATGACGAGATATTCGGAGATAGTTCGCAAGATGAGTATGAACTCTCGCATAACAGGTATGAAGACGAGAGTCAGAGAGGTATAAAGAGGTCGCTTCCTTCCTCCATCTCTTCAATATCCTCATCCAACCCAGCCTCACAAAAAGTTCCTCCAGTTGTCCCCTCTGTTTTTCATATCTTACAATATGTCTCACACCTTGAATATCGCGGTTGTTGGCCTTGGCCGCATGGTAAATATTTATTTCCCTACCCAAATCAAATTTACTAACTAGAACCAGGGCAAGCGACACGTCCACACTCTTCTGTATAGGGTACCTCGTGCTCGAGTTGTCGCAGTATGCAGCTCGATGGAGCACGAGGTTAAGTGGGCCAAGGAGAACGAAGAGTACAAAGAATTCGACATCGGGGTGTATGATAGCTATGATGAGATGCTCAATCATCCTGGACTTCAAGCTGTTTGGATTTCTACCAGCACCGATGTGCATTCCAGTCAGTCTCTTGCAGCCATCGCCAAAGGACTGCATGTTCTTTGCGAGAAGCCTTTGAGCACTGATATGGCCGAGGTACCTGTCGCCCCAATTTCTTTTACTGACACTTTGTTAACCGTGAAAATAGGCTCAAACTGTCGTTGATGCAGCAAAGAAGAAGCCTCACCTGAAGGTCATGGCAGGGTTCTCTCGTCGTTTTGACGCTTCATACCGTGATGCCGCTACCAAGATCTACAACGACAAGGCCATCGGGAAGCCATTCATGGTTCGATCCAACACCTGTGATCTTCTTGATGAGACTGGTTTCTTCGTCCGTTACGCGTCTCGCAACGGCGGCATTTTCGTCGACTGCGCCATTCACGACATCGACTTGTCACTTTGGTACCTCGGCAACCCCATCCCCAAAGCATGCTGGGCAACCGGAACTCTCCAACACCACCCCGAGCTCAAAGACCTCAACGACGTCGACAATGCGGTCGGCGTCGTCGAATTCTGGGGCGGTAAGATCGCTTACTTCTACTGTTCCCGAACCCAAGCCCACGGCCATGACGTCTGCACTGAAATCACTGGGAAGACTGGCAAGATTTCAGTCAATGTTGTTCCCAAGGCTAACAATGTCGTTCTTGCTGATAAGCTTGGTATTCGTCATGAGGTGCAGCCTGAGTATTGGCAGCGATTCGAGGATGCGTTTGCGCTGGAGGCTAATAAATTTACGGATGCAGTGTTGAAGGATAAGCCGGTTCCTTTGCCTATTGAGGGAGGAATTCAGGTCATGAATATTGGTAGGGCGCTTCAGCATGCGCTGTTGAGCGGAAACTTGGTCAAGTTTGATGAGAAGGGCAATTGGGAGTAGCAGGGCTAAGCATAGAATCATCATCACCTGACTTCTAGCTACTAGATATTCTGATGGTCGATGCTGAAATAAGAGTCTTTAACCCATGGTATGATGTGAAATGCATGATAAGCTGCATCGAAGCATGTGATTTGATGCTATTCCCAGCCACTTTTATGCACAGCAATGCTCCTGGTCGCATGATGCATTCTCCCACAACCAATCAAAAAGTGGACTTCTCTCCACCCACAAGCATGAATTACCCACCCGAAAATTAAACGCGCTTCTTATCTCTCTCAACCTCAAATCTTCATTTCACCTCACCTCATTTTCACCCTCAAAACCACTCACTCACCATGGGCATCTTCCGCTTGGCCAGAAAAACAGTCTTTACCGGCCTGTTGGGCACTTCCACAGCCGCCGCGTACCTCGCCTCTCAAAACCCCGTCATCTCCCCTCTCCCCGCCAACGACCCCATCTGGTCCTCTCGACTCTTTAGGAGGGCTAATCCGAATGGTAACCCTGCTACCCAGGATGTCGTCATCAAGCGCATTCCCTTTAGCAAGATTCGTCCGGAGCTGTTGCAGAATAACAATGATTTGACGCTTGAGTTCTGTCGTGGAGTCTGGAGTGGTTGGGGTAAGTGACCTTGTCTCATTGAGTTTCAAGTTATCGCTCACCGATTTAGGCTTCGCTATTCAGCGTCGCTACGCGCAATTGAAGTACCGAGGTCCCGAGACAGAGCATCAGCTCTGGGATCCTGAACAACTCGCCACAAGCACTTACGACAAAGGCGCTATCATCACTGATCATTTCGAAGTGGTTGAGAAGACTCCTACGTCCATCACCGTGCGCTGCGGCGACTCACCGCGCAACCAGCCCCTGCGCCCCTCTGACGGTCTCTTCCAGATCAGCGCTACTATCGACAAGACGCACGAGGAGGTTGAGTTGCGCCTCAAGAGTGTTTTGTTCTCCAGCGAAGGTAAGGTCGCGGGAAACAAGGGCCCTATGTCCCCGTGGATTACTGAGCTGCATCAGTGGTATGCAAGGATCTGGGCTGAGACTGGTTCCTGGAAGCTTCTTAAGTGATGGGAGGATTATGAGTTATGATATACCATGTAGATCGTGGGCAGGTGCTGCACTGACGAAATGAATGAATATGTCTGAAATGCATGATTTTCTGCGATCCTCTTTTCCTTCAAACTCTTTGGGGCTCAGTTAGCTGGTGATCTGGACCGATGCACTGAGACCTTGTAGATGTCTAATAGATTTTGAAGATAAATGCTTCTCCAGAAAGGTGCATCATCACGACATCCATTCAGACTTTTCGTCATACGATGAGCCCCGCTCACTTCACTGTGCTCATTTTCGTAACTGAGGGCGCGGCGATGTTCACCAAGATGGCATATTAGTAACGATTTAAATGTACAAGGCTTCATCAGCAGGTCAGCATTCTAGGAAGACATGCGAGAGGGATTTGACAGGCTTGAAAAAGTACCAGGATAATAAGCGCGCACTGTCGTTTACCACCACTTTTGACCCCATTAGCATGTGTCAATAAAGCCACGCACTGTCTTAGTCATCAAGAGGCGGTTAAGTTTTCGCGACTCTGCGCCTTGCTCGAGAATCTTCGCTGACATATCAAGCCGATTAAACTTCGACTCTCCTCCATTTAATCCTTCAATCCTGCACAAAAACCCATCATTAACTCTACTCTCCCCTTCATCACCTACAAAAAATCATCACCAGCAACACCGCCAAAATGCCTCTCATCGACGCCAACACCCCACCGACCTCCACCGACACTCACTACGTCGTCTACTTCGCCTCAGGCGAGCCCTCATGGTGTCCCGACTGCCGTGATGCTCTCCCCGCGCTAAACGCTGTCTTTGGCGGGGCTTCTGATCCTACCGCTTACATCGTCCGCGTGGGTTCGCGTGAGGAGTGGAGGGCTACTCCTAAGAACAAGTATCGCCTTCCGCCTTATAACATCAATGGCGTTCCTACTGTCGTCAAGGTCAAGAGTGTAAGTTGAAGAATTTGCGCTATATTTAGATCTGAATTAATAAGCTTTTAGGGCACGGAGGTTGGACGACTGGGGGATAAGGAGAGTCAGATTGAGTCTTCTCTTCGCAAGCTTGTGAACCAGTAAAGGCCCTTTACAAGGATGAGGCGCCGTTGACTGCGTCTCTTGAAGCACCACAGCATACCCAAGGCTGATCTTTGTCAGTCAGTACCGAGGCAGCTTGTTCAGTGTATACAAAGCTCATGTTTTGGAGGCGCAACGACCTACGGCTCTACATTAATCGAATGCTAAAAATAGACATGGATAAATGATAGACTTTTCCAAGACGGTCTGAATCACTGACGAAATGCTTGACGTCATTCCTATTGTGTATCAAATCTCCAAGGAGGCGTATTGCACTCATGTAGCCGCTTTCTTTACTGGGTCTACATATCTGTCGAAAAATTCTTCGACCTGTTCACCGCTCTACAACAAGTTAGAAATCTAAAATTCCAATAGATCAGCTTATTTATGCCCAGGAAAGGTCAGAGGACTAGTCAGATCACTAATAACTCGAGGGTCATAGCTAAGACTTAATTTTCAGGTATGTCGTTTAGATGTAATGGTGCCATCGAGATCAGTCAATCAATAAAAACAAACTCACTTAGTAAACCTCACTGCTAAAGTTTTTGGGTCGATCCTTTTACGGTAGAGCGTAATGTATGAGGGTATTGAATCCGATACCGGATCATGATGAATCAGATATGGATTAGGTGATCAGCCATGATACTTCCACAATCAGATCGTGCGAGTCACACTCAGCAGGTCAACTATTGTTTAATACCAGCGCCCTTCCAGCTTAAAATATTTCCCTCGGCCAAAAATAGGTTCAAGATCATTCACAATGGCAAACGCCGGACTCCAAGTCAAGCTTCGTGCGCTCCCTGTCCTACAAGGAGCATCGCATCCAAAAGCAGAATTCGCTTCATTCCCCGAAACCCCTCACCAAGCATTCGAGACATGGCTTGATGAGGCTATCTCCGCCAGCGTCCCCGAACCTCACGCCGTAACACTCTCAACAGTCGATGAGCAAGGCTACCCTGATGCGCGCGTCCTAATCCTCAAGAACGTCGATCAGCGCGGCTGGCACTTCGCCATCAAAGCCACCAGCCCCAAAGGCCGCCAGATCTCATCCAACAATAACGTCGCACTTACATTCTACTGGCCCAAAATTGGACGACAGATCCGTCTACGCGGTAAAGCAAGCTCCCTGCCTAGAAGTGAGTGTGAGCAGGATTGGACGGCTCGATCGGCTATGGCCAAGATCACTGCCAAGGTGTCGAGGCAGAGCGAACCACTTAATGACCCGCATGAGCTGGAAGCCAAGATGGCGGAAGCCGTGAAAGGTCATGAGATTGAGGGACAAGAGCCAAGTTCTGAGGGATGGGTAGTGTATGCGGTTGCGCCGCAGACTGTCGAGTTCTGGCAGGCTTCTAGCGATCGGCTGCATCAGCGATTGAAGTACACTTTGGATCCCGCCCAGAGTACCTGGAGCAAAACAGCTCTTTGGCCATAAACCCGAACACTACATCAGCATTTATCTTGGAGGTTTTATGTATACGTGCATATACGCCGGGTATAACACGATTCGCTCTCCCTTGTGTTCTTAGCGGGCTTACGCGTCCTCGATATCGCCCAGAGTCTAGACCCAAGCCTCACCAAACCTCTTATATAAAATCACATACAACTTCGGATATTGACGTGCCGTTCATGAAACCATCAAAGACTTAAAAGACGCAAATGCGAAAAAGGGAGGTCGGTAGTTTAGTTCAACGGGGCTGTGCAGCAGTGCGGCAGTGCGGCAGTGCCTGATCGCCAATTGTTAATCACGGCATTACCCGCTGGGCTGTGTTTTTGTAATTTGGCAATATAACACCATTCAGAATTCCATGAGAAAATTTCTCTCGGAGATGCCAAATCCGCTGAGGATCAGTGAGGAAGATACATGATTCTGCGTCAGGCAATTTCTTGTCAGTGTTGCCAAGTTCAACGTTGCACATCAATGACCACATTCCACATAGTTCTTCTTGTTATTCGTAACTCGGCTCTTGTATGTAGGTGGCTTGATAGTGACTTGGCGCTTGGCTATGAGATATTTGCTGTCGCGCCCGGTTCTGGAGGTCTTGTCGCCAAGGGTATTCGGCACGTTTTATACGAGAGGTTATTAGATGGATACTCTCGGCATGAGTCACCCCACAAGCAATAACACATGCTTTTGTCTCTTGGCCGTGTTAGTTTGGAAAAGATTTTCGTTTATCATTTCTTAGCTAGTGTGCCATTTCTTAGGCTCTTATCAGGAGAAGATTTACAAGTTCATGATTTGTATATATCGCTGATCCCCCCAACTTCTGCAAAAGATTTCTTTACTCTACTTTAGTTACAGGACACCAAAATAATCTGTTCAATTCGATGAACGACTCTTTTGTTGCAGTTTACCTACCTTTCGCAAATCTGGAGAACTCGCTGGAACTTCTCCTCTTCAGAGGAATTGCCAAGTCTGAAGCAGCAGACTTTGATCCACCTTAGGTTTTGTACGAATCCATCCAACCTTTGCAGCAAGATGGATTGAACTGATAGTTTAGATTGGGTGTAGAATATCAAAAACATATGATCCGCCAACACCATGGCCCGCCGCGACACCAACATACTCGGCCGTCTTGGCCTACGCAACGGCAAATCCCGCGCGCGAACCGCGACATGGCAGCTAAACCCAGATAGGGCAACCAAGAGCACGCCAGAAGATATTCTTCGGTGGATTGCGTCCATGACTCCTGATACGGCGCTTGCGCATTTGGTATCGAGCAGCGATGGCATCTCTGAGGCTGAAGCTACTGCGCGAAAACGCATTCATGGACAGAATGTTGTTTCGTCGAGGAAGCCGCAGTCTTGGTTTATGCTGTTGCTGAGTGTCATTCCGAACCCGTTTAATATCCTGTTGATGTTTCTGGCGATTCTTAATGTTGCGATGCCGGATCCTAGCTGGGTGAGTTTTGTTACAAGCAGATGTGACGATGGGGCTAATGAGGTATAGGAAGGATTTGCTGTTCTCATGGTCATGATTGTTATTTCTGTCGCTGTGCGCTTCTGGCAGGAATTCCAAAGCGGCGTCGCCATCTTTCGCCTTCAATCCGCCATCATTCCCAAGATTCGAGTCCGTCGACCAGCAACATATACCGACGAGCTTCAACTCTCCTGGACTGAGGGCACGGTTCTCGAGACTGACCTCGTCCCCGGTGATATCGTAATTCTGGTCCCTGGTGCAATCGTCCCAGCTGATTGCCTCATCCTCGAGTCTTCTTACTTGCGGATCAGTCAGTCTGCTTGGACGGGCGAGAGTGAACCTGTGGGTAAGGATGCGGGACCTCATGATGCGAAGGAGGCTTTCTCCATCTTTGACTTCAGTAACGTTGCGCTGATGGGGACCAATATTGTGAGCGGCCATGGTGTTGGGCTTGTTGTTAGGACGGGCGATGGTAAGTGTCGCAAACCAGTTCCCGCTGTTTGAGCTAATAGTTCCAGACGCGATGATTGCGACGATGGTCAAGGAGGTTGAGAAGAAAAGACAGCCCAATGCCTTCCAGAAGGGCATTCTCAATGTTACTTGGATGCTCATCGGCTTCATGATCGTCATGGTTCCTATCGTGAGTACTTCCCAAATTGATTCGCCTACTCAAACTAACTAACGTCCAGGTTCTGTGCATTTCCGGCAAGGTAACAGGAGACTGGAAGAATGCGGCGCTTTTCAGCATCAGTGTCGCAGTCGGTCTTGTTCCCGAAATGCTGCCCGCCATCGTCAACGCCAATCTCGCGCGAGCCGCCCACCAGCTTTCCAAGAAGCAAGCTATCGTCAAGCGTCTCGACTCGGTTCAGAATCTCGGCGCTATGAGTGTTCTTTGCAGCGACAAGGTATGCATCCCAGTTCAGTGACTTGATTGAATACTGACGATGAGGTAGACTGGAACATTGACCAAGGATGAGCTCTCCGTGCACAAGTACTCCAATGCCGAAGGCGAAGATGTCCTCAACATCATGGAACTCGCAAAGGTCGACTCGCAGATCCAAGGTAACAGCGGCAATAACATGGACAGGGCTATTCTCAACTATCACCTCCCCAATGGCGATGAAGTCGGCGTCGCCCATTACGAACAAGTCCGTGTCATCCCCTTTGACTTTGAACGTCGTCGCTCAGGCTGTATCGTCCGCGGCATCACAGGCCAGTACCTCCTCATCGTCAAAGGCGCATTCGACGAAGTCCTCACTCGCTGTTCATCGATGCGCTCAGCCGGTAAGAGCGAGTATCTCAGCACTGAGATGCAATCTCGATGGAGAAAACTCGCCATGCAGAAGAATATGGAAGGATACCGCGTTCTTCTCGTCGCGTCCCGCATTCTTGGAAAGTCTCACGTCAATGAGCTCGATCTTCTCGAGACAAACATGACCCTCGAGGGAATGATTAGTTTTTCTGATCCTCCCAAGGACGACGCGAAAGACGCCATCGCAAGTCTCACCGAGCTCGGTGTCCAAGTCAAAGTCTTGACCGGCGACTCCCTCCCTGTGGCTCTCAACATCTGCCGCTCCCTCGAACTCCTCCAACACTCCGAAACAATGGACGACGACGCAGAGGCCATCTCCGGTCCTGAACTCGCCCTCCTCGAAGACTCCGACGAATTCGACCTCGCCGTCGAACGATGCAGTGTATTCGCCAAAGTGACGCCCAAGCAGAAGAGCCTGATCGTACTAGCTCTTCAGAAAGCCGGTAACTGCGTTGGTATGCTCGGCGACGGGATCAACGATTGTGGTGCGCTTCGAGATGCAGATGTTGGAATCTCTGTTGACTCTGGAGCCGGAGTCGCGAAGGATTGTGCGGATTTGATCTTGACGGAGAAGGGGCTTTCGATCATTGTGCGGAGTGTGATTCTGGGCAGAATTACGCATGGGAATACTATCAAGTATATCAAGATGGTCGCTTCGTCCAACTTTGGTAATGTTTTTAGTATTCTGGCGGCTAGTGCTTGGCTACCTTTTACGCCGGTGAGTAGCTTACCATGAATCTCGCAGTGAGTATGCTGACTTGGAAATAGATGACT